TGCATATATAGTACTATCAGCTATCTACAGCTGTTAAGGATTGTGAAAAAAGACACATTTCAGAAATTCCTGGAATTTTTCACAGGCTAAATTTGTGTATAGAAGATAATCGATTATTTTTGTTACACCTATTACCAAGCCTTGTATACCTATGAAAACTGAGCCAAAATTGTCAATATTTAATGTCAAGTACCTTCAGGTAGGGGAGCAGTCAGGAGATGATACAAAAATCTATGCAACTGGATAGGCTTGCTTACATTATATGTATTCATGTCAACTCACTTGTAATCAATGCCCGTCAAATTAATATTTTCTTACATGGTACCTTGGTACCATGGTAAATTATACAGCAGAGCAAGAACAATAAATATAGAGGCTGCCCATCTACATTAGACAAGGTAGAATGTGCTTTCACTATACCACACACTTATAGTCACTACAAATAATGATACTTCGTACAGGTCATAATTAATGGCTGTCGAAATCATCAGACCACCATACATGATTCAGTAGAAGTAGGACTATAGGTAGATTGATGTTCAAAAAACATGCCAGTTTCCTTTATACTAGACCAGGTGGTAAAATTATTTGAAAAGCGTTATGTATGTTTCATGTGATAAGACAATTGTGTGGACTTTAATATCTATAGTGTTAGAACAATAACTTGAACTTTTATGTTTTGTGTGTTAGGACAGTTGTGCGAACTTTTAATGTTTTGTGAGTTAGGACAATTGTGTGAATGCTATTTTTATTTAAACCTTAAAATCATCCTGCATACAATTGCAAATGATGGTTCTAGATGATCTGTTTCAGTCACAAACACATGAAAGGCAGGTACTCGTAAAAAACTTAGTACCATCTCGTACGCTTCCTGTTTTTTTTTTTATGTTTTTTTTTTATCCTGCCATTTTTTTTTGTCCACATATAAGCCACACCAGTATATATAAGCCGCATGCCTGACTCACAAGGAAAACAGAAGCCGTTATAATCCAGAAAATAGGAAATAAAAGCTGCTTCATTATCTTCACTTAACTATTTGGTGAATATTTAGCTGGATTTATCACCTTGTTAACTTGTAGTAACTGATGAATGTCTACCATACTGAAAAACATAGGGGAGGTCCACCACATGCTATTGCAAAGGTAAAGTATCTTGCTACAGGAAGCCATAACAGCACAGCACAGAAAGCATTGTAATGTTGGCTTCCTGAGAAACACATACAATCTCAGGTAGGAATCAAATAACACATCTCAAGACATTTACACCAGGATTGAAATGTCTGAGCTGTCCATGCTTAAGTCTTCCTATAACAATAACTTTATTAGAAATACAGTCTTTTAATATATAGCATTCCTTTGAAAAAGGACAACCACAAAAATACATTTGTACCTTAAGCACAACATTAAACACATTGTATATAACTTTTTCAAGCTGTCAGTATGAGAACTTCAGCAGACATGGTTAATATCTACACATTTCAAGCAGTAGTAAATTATATTACAGTTGATTAATCCAGTGCCAAAATCTTTCCACTTGAAGATTAAATCTAAAAGTTTAACATATCCAGTTTGATGAATTGTCTGCCTGACCAGAATTATCATCAGACCTTATTTTATGGTGCCCCCTTTGTTGACGCTGATCACAGGTGGCATCAATAGTACCTAGTAAGCCTTGACAATGACACAGGATCACATTTCACCTCCCTATTCAACCCTTCTGTCTTCTCACTTGTCAAAGCATGGTCTCCACTACTAAGACATCAACTTAATATCATTAACAATTCAAGGTTATACATCGTTAAGGACACATACATTGAAAAAAATTGAAATTTTCAAAAAGTAGACATGTAAAATAGTATTAAACTGATAGTCCTTCATCCTAACATCAACACAAATCTTTATTATTCAGAGAGAAAGGTAAGTTGAAGTTATAAATGTGGATGAAGCCTACACAGATCACAGTGAGGGTCTTGACAGTGAAAACCTGATACAACAGTCAAGACTTCTAATCATGTAGTCTTTGATTCATTTATTCCAATCTGCCCTTGGAGGCCATAATAGAATGACAAAACAGCAGGTCTGATAATATCTAAAGATGTGAATGGGTAATTTACTATGAATAATGGGCTATTAAAGGCCATGAGTTATCTCCCTTGATGATTATTTGAAGATTATCTGGTACTACACTTCAATGAAAGATCACAAGGTGATTTCATTACTCTGTTGAATAAGGCCAGATTTAACTAACATCAAATATATAAAGAAATGAAATATGAAATTTAAGAATTTCTGAAGCCCAGCCCCTTTTACCCTTCTTTTAATTAACAGATTCTTTCTCAATTGAAAATAAGACTCCTTTCATCCTAAACCTATTAGAAAAAAAATCAACAAAGTTTGTCCCTTTTAACAATTTGAATATCATAAAGCTTACAACATTATCATAAATTAATAAATATCTCATTTGGCAAACACATGTATGAATCTTTTTTTATTAGAATGTGAAGCTTTCTTTCTTTATTACAGAATTGTGCCCCTTTTTCTTTCCCACTAATCACATATTCTGTATCTTCTTGTAATCTCTTTCAAATTTCTTCTGATTCTTTTACATAATTATGATACCATATCTGTAAACACATCTTTATGGAAGCTTCAGTCATGTATAAAATGTAAAAGACTAAGATAATTAATGAAACTTTTTCACCTTCCCATCAGAAGTAATCTGATCACTTTCTTGCGTCCAAAATAACAACCATGACGTAATTATATCATTATCAAAGCGGAGGAGTTTGATGGAGGAGGTAAAACTGGTTACTCTTCACTTTGAGCATGATTATAGAATTAAAATCCAACACAAAAATATGCAGTGAATGTTGTGGAGACAGGGATATTTACATGGTGCGAGAACAGAAACTAGATCTGCGAAGGAAGCTCCAACTATACATCAAAACCTTGGCACATAGGTCTAAGTAGAATTCCATTCGATGATTCTGCCATACTTCTTGTTTATCAAAAACTGTTTTTATAGACATGGACAGCACAAATCCATCTAACTTGATCAAAACACAAATATCAATTGGCCACTATACTACATCTATTATGGAGCCAATACTTCTCTATCTCAACTAATTAACACTTACATAACCCATCCCTGTTTCTATATTCAGTACTGAATTCAACTGACGCTAATTACATAACTTACTATTTTCTTCAACAAACCACACTTTATTTTGAGCGTTTACCAAAATTTATGGGAGCAGGGGGATTCTATCGGAGTCAGAATTTGACTACAATATTCATGTCTGATAAACAAAAATGTTCCAGTGATGGATTCTGGGTAAAACAATAAATCTTTGATACACAGGATGATAGTAATTATTCTTTCGGATGTGTAATCAACAAACACTGTATGACATTATGTGAGAAAATTGGAACAAACTTTTATTACAAAAACTCAATAAGCTGGCATCTGTTATATTACCATCCAGTTCAACTTTTCACTTTCACAGGGTAATTTTTTTCCCTTCTTCCCGTCTTAAGTCACAATCACAATACAGTAAATGCATAGATTGTAGCAGTAATTAGACTTTAGCACTTTTCACTGAAAACATTGTGCTCAATTATGACTACACTAGGTTTTTTTTTTGTGGATGAGCAAATTTATCTTTGTGCTAATATGTCAAAAAAAATTTATGCATTAAATTGATTGTGCCAAAATAATAACATTTACATTGATAAATCTGTAGAAGGGCTGGGTTGCTGTTTTGTTTTCCTCCTCTAGTGTAAAAGCAACATTATGTATTGAAATCTTATAATGTAAGCACTTAAAAAAGTTCCTATCTAACATCAATTATATTTTATATTACCTTGCAGTAAATATACATAAGGCAGACTTTAACTCAAGCAAATCAGTATATGGTATTGCATCTAATATTCACAGTGCTCTTGTAGAATATTAAAAAATATTCAACTGATTTTCAACGAGAACATTTTCCAATAGACGCAATATGTGTAAAAGAAAATGTCCACTTTCACTGAATTTCATCTTTCTCAAGATGATGTTGCTTAGGCGATGAATACTGAAAATCATATATATATATACACACAGAACAAACAATATTTATACTACTGAAGAAAAGACACCAAACAGAAAAAGTGTACATATTAGTAACAGAGAGTCGCATTCAGATATACAGGAGACTTACAGATAGACAACTTGGAGAATCAGATTTTTCAGCTATATATTAATTTTGTGCTTTTTCTAGAGGTTTAATTTTGATTTAAACTTGCAAGTTTTTAAGAGAATTAAATCACTTAAAAATTAAAATCATAGAAAATATTTTGTGATCTTTTTTTCTCAAAATTTAATAAATCCAGAAATCCCCCTCCTCTCAAAGTCTTTATAGAATCTGGAAAACAAAAATAGACTCAAGGTTTTTTCATTACTGGTAATAATGAATAACTGAAAGTGAAATGATAATTTGAAGAAAAAAAACTGATATTCTAAATTCTTTAGTTTTGTATAATGGTGATTAACGTACACCAACTCAATTTTATGTCAGCATCAAAAGACAAAAGGATCAAATTGGTGTTAATATTTGTTAACAAAAAAAAAGTTAGAAATCAACTAGTTAATAAAAAGCTTTATTTCAAAAAGTTGCAAGTTTGATTGAGAGTGGTTACAAATGGGAAAATTGTTATAAAGCAGAAGTTGGACCGAGAAGGTAAGAGGTTTAGATATCCTACAGGATGATAGGTACACCAATACAGATTTTCTGGGTCAAAAATTTCTTGAAAAAACCCTGGGTCTGATACGAATCATTGATACAAATCTGAAATAACCATAATGATACTTCATGATCTGCTTTTTGATTCATATTAGACACCACTCTTTCTCCGAGAGAAAAAAATTCTCAACCAAGAAAAATCTCAACCAAGTACCTATAATCCAGGGGAGATCACTCTAGGCACAGGAAGAGAAGACAATTTTTGCATTTTACTTACTGCTTTAGAGTCAATATCTATCAAGTCTCTCGTAAGATGTTCACCTCTCCGATTTTTCTGTAAAATATGAAATACAATAACTGCTATGATGCAAGGCCAATGCTACAAATGTCTACTACTTTCAACGCATGACACTGACCTAAAGTTCAATACTTTACAGTGACCTATGACCTTTGATATATGATGAAGTCCAATTAAACATGACAATGAATCACGCAGTCCAAAGCACAATCATGTGGGAAGTGAAAAACACACTTCAAATGGTTTGTGATTTCAAAACATCTATTCTCTTTTACTTTATATTGTTACACATGCTAGCCTGAGTCAGCAGTTAAATCAAGCATTCATTATATCCAAGTAAAATACCAGCTTTAGTTCTCTTTTTGTGAGTAAGCATCTGTATAAAAACAAAAATATATTGTTCGTTTAAATCTGTCAAATATATGAAACTAAAGAAAAAAATCATTGATACATTCCTTATAAAAACCAATTTTTTGCAATAATTAATCTTCCTTCTATCCACGTTCTGGACCAAGTATATCATGCAATGAACTAAATTCTATATTTAGAACACTCAAACATGCTGCATTGACTATTGCAGTTTTACCTGATAATCACCTCCATGTTGATCAATATACATATAATGGTCAATTGACATGACTTAAACATATAGACATAATAAACTTACTACCCTCTATAAGGACTTACTACCCTCTGTAAGGACTTACTGCTCTCTATAAGGACTTACTACCTTCAATAAGGACTTATACCCTCTATAAGGTCTTACTACCTCTATAAGGACTTATACCGTCTATAAGGACTTATACCTTCTATAAGGACTTACTACCCTCTACAAGGACTTACTAACCTCTATAATGACTTACTACCCTATATAATGACTTATACCCTCTATAATGACTTATACCCTCTATGACTTATACCCTCTATAATGACTTACTACCCTATATAATGACTTATACCCTCTATGACTTATACCCTCTATAATGACTTACTAACCTCTATAAGGACTTACTAACCTCTATAATGACTTACTACCCTCTATAATGACTTATACCCTCTATAACGACTTATACCCTCTATAAGGACTTATACCCTCTATAATGACTTATACCCTCTATAATGACTTATACCCTCCATAATGACTTATACCCTCCATAATGACTTATACCCTCCATAAGGACTTATACCATCCATAAGGACTTATACCCTCTATAATGACTTATACCCTTTATAATGACTTATACCCTCTATAATGACTTACTACCCTCTATAATGACTTATACCCTCTATAATGACTTATACCCTCTATAAGGACTTATACCCTCTATAAGGACTTATACCCTCTATAATGACTTATACCCTCTATAAGGACTTATACCCTCTATAAGGACTTATACCCTCTATAATGACTTATACCCTCTATAAGGACTTATACCCTCTATAAGGACTATTTACAAACTTGGTTCATTAATGGTTCTTATTTCTTTGCCAAGTAACATGCTTATTGAAGTCATGATACAAAGTAAAAAACCAAGGAGAAATGCCTCATGCAGTATTGTTGCAATTTTGTTGCTGGGTAACAGCATGTTCTATCTCTGATCCCCTATACTGTCCTGTAGTATTGCTAGTCAAAAAGTGAACCTTCTTTTCGTAAATAAAAATGGCTGATGCACTTTTCCAAGTTCCTATATACTCCAGGATATGATATCAGTGAGAAAATACAATTACAAAGTTGTCAGGTTTGTAGACGATGAAATCAGTGGAACGTGATTGAATGAAATGTCTGTGATCAATGTAATGCAAAATACAGACAGAACATTCAAGATTTTTACAGGAAAGATACTCAATGCTGAAAATTTTTTTCTGAATGATATACCTCTCATATCACAAAATCACCATAACTGATTAAGTACAATTGGTTCAATCAAGTACCATTCACTGAAAAAGATCTTGATGAAATTCAAGAGCACTTAGGTTAAATCATATTTTTTGCCCTCACAGAAAAAAACTCCATCTCTTTCACATAAAAATCAGAGGAAGAAAATTCACTAGTCTTCTGTATGATTTTCAATCTCCATTAAATGAAGCAACAAAAACTTAAAATTATTCAAGTTGAATCTTAATGGGAGAAATTGAAGAAATCCATTGAAAATGATAATACATCAAATCATATATATTTCACAAGCAATTCATTTTGGTGTTTATACCCGGGGAAAGTCAATCTCAAATTCAAATTCCTCATTGTTATTTGTACAAAAAATAACTGTGGATGGCATCCATGTCATGTTGATTCCGTTATCGATATCGGAGCTTTGTAGGATTCTTGTCTCTAATAGCTCATCATTCATGAATTTCAACCCATTTCTAGATCAGCATTTGTGACATTATGGAGATGTCAAACAAGTCTGAAGAGTAAAGTTCATGAAATACAGGATTCAGGAAATCACTGTGATTAACAGATGATTGCTAAACCTTTTTAACTTTGTAACCTTTCTGATGTAAAAAATACATCATATTCAAAACTGAAAATTAAAAATTTGAAGTTGGTAAATAATCATTAAAATAATGGAATGCTCACACCAGAAAATAATCATGAGACATTCTTAATACCATACTGATCTGGCAGTTCACCAATGTCTAGTTACCATTACTTGTATACCGTTATTCAGTAAAACCACCAATAAATCTTTATCTATTGTCATGTAATAAACCTAAGTCTAATGGTCTACTTGGGCTTACTGTAGGATAAATAGGGTAATAAGAAAAAGATTTAGAAGGGCGGCGTCATCAGGATAAATGCGGTATCTAGCACCCATGTTTTCAAGCATGAAATAACCACACTATAGCCAATATATAACACTTCTGCTGTACTCAGTGCTGAAAAACCAATATCCCAATATACAAGGCTGCTTGAAAGACTCATATAGTAATGACAAGAGGCCCTCTGTTTAACCCAACACAGGTATGACTTCATGTAGCTGAATTTCTGAACACTAAGATTGCTAAGAGGCTAAAACCATAAACACTTCATGTTCCTTATGGCTGTTTTGATGCTTAGCATGCTATTTACATTTTCTGAAGGGCTAGCCAGTTGTGGAGCATCAATCTGTTTTCACACATATTATATCTGGCAGCACTTCCTCCGACCAAACTCACAATTAACTAGTGTTTAACAGATTCCATCTGGAATATAATCTTATTTTTTCTTTCTAAACTTATTACATTACACTGTTGCAGTATTGTTAATTCAGCTAGTATTTGTTAGCGATCAATTGTTTTTAACACTTCTTCAGGTAAATTAACATTATTTTAATCCAAATTTTTGACAATTAAAAAAAAAAAACACTCAAATCAAGCAAAAATATTAAAATAGGGTTGTGATAGTTTCACCAAATACAATTTATATACACCACATCATCATACTATGTCTGGCTGGAAACTATGTGACACTCACAAGGTGATAAGGGCCCTCTCAAGAAGCCCTCATCCCCATCAGCACAATGACTCAAGTGGTGAAGTAGGAGTAAACACTACTTATACAATATCTATAATCCAGATTTCTATCACAGCAGTGTTGTGGTCTAAAGATTTTATGAATTTAACATTACATTTCATCACTATTTTTCCTAAATCCTGATTATGAAGACGGAAATCATCTACCACCTTGGAAGGGGCTGCTTCAAGTCAAGAAATTAAAACCACAAACAGGACCATAATGTGTTAAAAACATTCGTAGAGACAGAAATTAAGAATATTTCATTTGTCCAACCACCCTACCCTGCCCCATTTGTCCAACCGCCCTACCCTGCCCCATTTGTCCAACTGCCCTACCCTGCCCCATTTGTCCAACCACCCTACCCTGCCCCATTTGTCCAACCGCCCTACCCTGCCCCATTTGTCCAACCGCCCTACCCTGCCCCATTTGTCCAACCACCCTATCCTGCCCAATAAAAACCATAAAGATGACTAATGTTGTTTGGACCTAAAATCTGAATTCCATACAATAACAAGTCCATTCCTAATTAACCTACATGTTTTATGCTAAGGCTTGTGATTTTGAACTGAACATAAATATCTCCCAAGTCCTTCTGCAAGTCCTACAAGCCATGCATGAAAATATTGTGAAATCATCGGTACAGCATTGTCAGTGTCTCTGTTGAAGCCAGTACAACATTACAAGTGCCTCCGAGTATAGGGAAACCACTGGTGGATGTCTGGTGACCATTGATCAAAGATGAGACATTAGAAAAAGACAAAACAAATGTAATACATCAAATTTAATTCAAATTCAAAAATTGAACAATTGATTTCTAAAAACATTTTGAAGACATTAAATCTATCATGTGTTTTACCTTAATTTAAACAGCATCATATATAACAGAAGTAATTCACCATTACATGGGTTACCGTATTCACCCTGTTGAAAGACCTGGACAAACATGTTACCACTGACAAGTCAGGAGACAGGCTTAATACTGAAAAAAGCATACTATGATATTTTTGATGAGCAGCAACTGATATGAATTGGTTAATTACATTAGACACAGACTTGTTACTGGACAATGAAGTCATATTTGTTGTTCACTAAGCAGAAACATATCTGGGTGGAATAGAGTCAAATAAACATGATATTTGTTTCCCCCCTTATTTTCTCATTCTTAATCCATGTCTAATTCATGTGAAACTCTACGACTACTTTTATACAGACTTTCAGTAAATACAGCTGTAATACGATATTCCAATCCCAGATTAAAGAACTGGATTTTCAGTTACTTTGGGTTCCAATTTATTCTAGTGAAATATAGAACCAAGAATAATAGCCTTTAAACTATACTAGATACAAGTTTATTATAGCTTTAGGGTTACAGGGCAGATGAGATGGATTTATCCCAGGGTTTCTGTAAGTAAAATCACCAAGAAGCAATAGTATCAGAAACACTGTAGGTGTTCAAATGACTAACTCCTTTAATTAATACGCCTTGTGTGACATTTGATTTATTTGTGGAGTGAAAAATGTAATTAATATACAGTAAAAT